CCAGCCAGCATCCTTTATCATGATAATGATTTCAAGGAATCCTCTGTGAGATTGCATTGGGCAGAGGTAAGCCTCCTGAGGGTAGGGATTGTGGCATTTTATTTCTAGCACAAGGTTTGTCCCAGTAAGCAATGAATAAATGTTTGTTGAATGAATGAATGTGAGAATAGGGATGCTGAGTCAAGTAATAAATGACACAAAACAAGAGAAGCAAGGAATTTTTCGGAGATTTAAGGTGGAAATATTTGACATAGTGAACTGGTGAGGGTAGGGAGAAGGTCATAGCTCTATGACTGGAGTGCCTATGAAGGCAAAAGGAGATGCAGCTTCTTTTTTCTTTGACTGTGCTGTGGGCAGTTTTGTGGAATCTTAGTTCCCCAACCTGGGGTTGAATCCAGGCCAAGGCAGTGAAAGCTCAAACTCCTAACAACTGGACCACCAGGGAATTCTGCTTTTTTTTTTTTTTTTTTTTTACTTACTGCTTTTGAGATGAAAGGCACCATTATCAGCTTGCTGAGCCTATCAGCCACTACCTTTCAAACTGCAGGTCACAGGCCATCATCATAACACATTAATTTTAGGGGTTTATCTCTAGGATTTTTAAATTTTTTTCATAGCTAAGATTCTTAAGTGACACAAAATAAAAGAGAAAACAGTGTATTACAGGTACTATTGAGTACATGATACATTGAAAATTTTTTGATATGTGTGTTCTAGGTCCTGGGTCCGAAATGTATGGGGGCCCCTGCTTTAAGCAATGGGGTGGGTAGGACAGCTTCAAACTGATGGTGAGATAAGGAGATCAGATTTGCATTTAGACAGAGCATTTTGGGGTCTAGGGTTTGGGAGTCCAGCCAGATCTGGCCAGCAGCAGGAGACAGGCAGGTGAAGATGCCAGAGCTGTTTCCTGCCAGGGGCATTAGGGAGGGTCACAAGTTCGGTTAGGAAGGAAAGAGAAGTAAGTGGACTTGAGGCAAGTCCAGTGTAAGTTGCCGGCAGGCCATTCTAGGTGAATTCAGAAGAGAGGCAGGAATTCAGGAGGGATATGCCTATCAGTAACAGGAATTTGGTAGTTCTCTGCGATAAGACAGGAGGCTGAAGAAGTACTGGAGGTGGGTGAAACTGTTTAGGAAACACCCATGAAAGAATGGGGGCAGGGCACACTTTCAACTAGAAAAGTCTGTCATCCCAGAGCAAACATTAACCAAGAGGCAGGACTCAGCCTGTGCTCAGAAAATCATCCTACAAGGCTTGTTATCCAGCACATCCCAGGATAAACACAAATTATGTATTAGAACAATGTGTGTGGCCTCTGGAATTCAGTGGCCTTAGAAGTCATTTAGTTACGTGGTTCCCAAACTTGCTTGTATTTCAGAACAATTTATAGAGCTTTCTGATTATACAGATTCCAGGAAGGGCCCCACAACAAGCCTATGAAATCAAAATATCCAAAGGAGGGACTTCACTGGTGGCTCAGTAGTAAAGAATCCAACTGCCAATGCAGGAGACATGGGTTCAATCCCTAGTCCGGGAAAATCCCACAACTTCCTCAGAGCAACTAAGCCTGTACTCCACAAGAGAAAGCACTGCAGCGAGAAGCCCAAGCACCTCACTCAACCAGAGAAAAGCCTACACAGCAACAAAGACTTAGTGCAGTCAAAATAAATAAACAAATAACAATTTTACTAATATATTCAAGGGAGACCAGAGAGTCTGTATTTCCAAACAAGCTCCTCAACTGGTAGCCATTTTAAAAAAAAAAAAAAAGAGGAACTTTACCTGTTGATATTGAACCAACTCCAACATACATGAAGTGGAAAAAAGCGAGATTCAGGACAATGTTTATAACATGTTGCCATCTGTGAAAACTGAAAAGTACATGTGGGAGAATATGTACAAGCACGTGTTAGCACAGACCCAGGTTCTAGGAGACACACACACAAATCTGGCCACAGGGAGGAAAATAGGGTACCTGGGGACAGGGATAGGAGAGAGATTTCGTCTAGGCCTTTTTTGGTTATCAGTTGAATTTGTGCCATGGAAATGGATTGCCCACCCAGTAAGTAAATAAATAAATGTCAAAGCTCCCTGGATAATTGTAATGTAGACCTAGGATTTGGGAATTCTTGATTCTAGGGACTCCTCACCCCCACACAGCATCTAAGACACTGGTTATACACTCTCTTGTGGACTGCTCATTCCATCTTGGAAAACTGTTAGTTCTGATTTTCCTTTTTAGTGTCAAACTGAAACTATGTAGCCTCCAGGGAGGCTCACTGCTGCCTCAGGTAACCATGCAGAATAAATCCAATCTGGCTAACTGCACAGTTGGGTGAAAGGAGAGTGAGCCCATGTAAAACATTATATCGGCTCGGATTATCGTTTTCAAATATAAATGTAAACCTTTCAGTGATTTCCCATTGCCCTTGAGATAAAAGTTGCAGAAGGTGGTGAGCCCCTGCAGAGTCTGGGCCATCACCAACCTCCCCTCCCACTCTTCTACCACACACAGGGAGGGGACTTCCAGCCTCAGAGCCTTTGCCTGGGGTCTGTCCCTCTGCCTTGAGGGCTTCCCTACTAGCTCAGACGGTAAAGCATCTGCCAGCAATGCAGAAGACCCGGCTTCAATCCCTGGTCAGGAAGGTCCCAGTAGGGAAGGTCCCCTGGAGAAGGAAATGGCAACCCATTCCAGTATTCTTGCCTGGAGAATTCCATGGACAGAGGAGCCTGGTGGGCTAGAGTCCATGGGGTCACGACACGGACATGGCACACGGTCACGACACACACACTCTGCCTTGAATACACTCTCTTCCCCTCCTAAAAACTTATCTTCCTGGACACTTTCTCAAGGACTCCCTGACAGTACCAGACCAGATCAAATTCCCTTCTTAGACACTCTCAAAGCAGTCATATTTTTTCTCCACAGCCATATTCAACCTACAGGTACTGAAGGGTCCCCAGAATCAAGCACAATAGCAAAGGAAATGGGGGAGGGGTCCCTACCCTTAAGAGTCTATAATCCTTTAGGGAAAGGGGGAATGCACCCTGATTAAATTATCACAGAAACAAGTGTAAACACTAGGTGCCTGGGCGGTGGATGGTTAGCAGGGGAATGTATCAGTGAGGGTATCTGAGGGTGGAGCTTTCCTGAAAAGCTAAGTATTAGCTGAGTGTAGAACGGTATTCCAGGGAAGTCTCCAAGGAAGAATTAATCCTGTCTGTTTGGATCTGGAAAATTGGTAGGCTGTCAGTAGAGATTCAGTGAGTGAGCAACTTGCCTCAAAGCAGAGATGGATTAGAAATCAGACCTCTCAATTCACAGCAAGGTGTTCTTCCCTTCCCCCAGAGCTGCTCCAGGACTTTGGAGAGCATGCCTGAGAGAACAGGGAAAAGGATATGGTTCAATTATTCTTTTCCTTTTGCTTTCATTTCACAATCCATGGACCTAAACATAATAAAATCACCCTCAACACTTTATCAATCTTTTAAAAAGGAAAAAAAAGAAAATGAATGGTTCTTTAACATTTCTGACACTGTTTTCATTCCAATATTTGGATTTGATCACATTCAGGAAACCTCTGTCTGCTCAGGTAAGGACTTTCCATTCCTTTAACCATGAAACAAATATTGATTGTAGAATTACAATGCATATACCCATACAAAAAGTTCAAAATGTTGACCACTGTTTCTTTGATGCTGGTAGAATTACAGATGATTTTTTGAAGTATAACTATCTGTATTTTCTAAGGCTGTAATTATTTTGTAGTATTTGCATAATACAAATCTTTGAAACACAAAGCTTTTTGTTTTTTTAGTTGAAGTATAGCAGATTTACAATGCTATGTTATTTTCAGGTGTATAGCACAGTGATTCTGCTGTTATATATATATACATATATGTGTATTATATATATCCTTTTTCAGGTTATTACAAAATATTGAGTGTAGTTCCCTGTGCTATACAGTAGTTCCTTGTTGGTTATCTATTTTATATATAGTAGTGTGTGTATATGTTAATCCCATCCCCCTAATTTATCCCATGTCCCAAGGAAAAGCTTTTTAAAAAAATATTTGAGCTCATGGTAGGCCAAAAACAGAGGTAGTGGTGATAATCTTAACCAAACACCCAAAATATTTAAATACACAAGCTAAATAAGCAGCGTATTTGCTCTAAATAAGCTACCTAAAGACAAGTCCTTTTCGAGACTGACAGCTGTACCTCTGCCTCTCATAAAATCATTCATTCTAGGAATCGTCATTGGTGCAAGGGATATTACAACAAATCTGGTCACCTATAAAGTGGGGATAATTTCTCTCTCATAGAATTGTTGTAAGAATTAAACGAATGAATAGATAAAGGCCTTGTAACAGTGGGACATAAGCACTACATAAGTGTTTACTATTATTATATTTGTTGCTGTTTAGACACAAAGTGAAGTATTAGTCACTCAGTTGTATCTGACTCTTTGCGACCCCATGGACTGTAGCCCGCCAGGCCCCTCTGCCTCCTCCTGCCAGGCAAGAATAGGGGAATGGGGTTGCCATTTCCTTCTCCAGGGGATCGTCTGGACCCAGAGATAGAACCCGAGCCTCCAGCATAGGCAAGCAGATTCTTTACCACTGAACCACCAGGTGTTGCTTATCTAGGCACTCCGAATGAAGCCAGCAAGGGTGCGAGAGAAGGAACTGGTTCTGAGAAAATATACCAAAGCTAAAATAGAGGTGAGCAAACAATGCCGAGGCCCACAACGCAGGCCGTAGGGTTAAGTCTTGTAATCAGCAGCTCAAGGACAGGACAGCCGGCTGGACAGGAGCCTCAGTGCTCCAGAGTTGGGCCCTGTGTTCGTGAGGCAGGGCCCAGTCCTTGGGTCATCCAGTTCTCTCTCATGCTAAAACTGGGGCCTGGGGGCCCAGAGCGGAAGACGGGACCGAACAGCTTTCTCTACCCTCCACATTTCCTCACCGTGTGGAACACAGAACAGACGCCGATAGGGCTTTGGCCTAACGCGGTAAGAGTCGACTACACTCCGGCGTGCTGTGGGAACTACGCTTCCCACCATGCAACGCGTCAAGAGGTGCCTTCCGGTCTCTCCCGGCATCTCGCAGGTTCAGCTGGGAGTTTTCATTGACCTCTGAGCTCCTCGGGTTCGGAGGGCCCCTCTAGGCCCCGCCCCTTTCTGAGAGGGGGCTGACCTCGCAGCGTCCCGCGAGCTGCTTCCTTCTTCCCCTCTCATTGGTCCAGCCTAGCTGCCATTCCTGTGCGAGGAGGAGAAGTTGATTACTGATTGGTGGATTCTGTTTGGCGCCAACTAGGAAAGGGGGGGCGGGGGAGAGGCAGGCCGCAGTGAGCAGCTATTACCGCGAAAGGCCACCTTGGCAGCGACGGCCCGGGAGGGAAGTGAATGTCGGCCTGGTTGTCTGCACTCCCAGGCGAGAGAGTGAAGGAAAAGTGAAGAGAGTGTGAGCCCGCGTCGTTGCTTCGCAGCTCTAGCCGCTCTCCCTCCCCGACGCGCCCCGTTTGTTTGGATTTAATCTTCAGGTTGCCGGCTCCCCCCGCCCGCCAGCCTCGCGGAGTGAGGGGACGCACCCGCGCCTGTGGCTGGCGCCTGCCGAGTCTGGACACTCGCCCGTCCGCGCCTCTTGCCCGCGGCAGCCGCATCGCTGAACCGCGGGGTCGTGTTTGTGTTTGATCCGCGGGCGCCGGCTGCGGGGCGCGCGGCCGAGGCCAGTGCCAGCGGGGTGGGGCGGGCGCGGCGGAGGCGGAGGAAGAGGGAGCGGGATCCCTAGGAGGCCCGGCGCCGCCATGGAACTGGGCCCGGAGCCCCCGCACCGCCGCCGCCTGCTCTTCGCCTGCAGCCCCCCGCCCGCACCGCAGCCCGTCGTGAAGGCGCTGTTCGGCACGCCAGCCGCCGGGGGCCTGTCGCCTGTCACCAACCTGACGGTCACCATGGACCAGCTGCAGGGACTGGGCAGGTGAGGAGGGACCGAGGAGCGGTGCCTCAAGCGTTTGGCCTCCCAGACGGCTCTCGGGTAGACCAGGCCAGAAAACCGGCCGCGAGGGTAGCGCTTGCCTCTCTGCCGCTCGGGGGCGGCCCCACCGACGGGGGCCCGCCATGTGCACCCTCCCCCCAGGCCGAATGTTGGGCGGGAGAGGCCGTTCGGACCCTCCGGGGCCGCCCTCAGCCCCGAGACGGGCCGGGTAGGGGGTGGGGTACGCCCGGGCCCCCCACCTTCGCCACCCCTTCTTAAATTGCCCTGTGCTCTTCTGTCCCTACCCCACGAAGCTCTTTGAAATCTGCCTCCACGGGGAAAAACAGGCCCTCCTAGTCGCTCACTTCTATCATTTGCAGAACCACCTCGTAGTTACCTTAGCTTTCTGTGAGCTCTGTTTCCTTCTCAGCCAAGGGACGTGGCGTTTTTTTTCCTTGAGTTTGCAAAGATCGTCGCAATCCTTCGCCCCGTGCATATCCCTGCTGTTTCCCGCCCCCACCCCCGCTCCCCGCCACCCAGCCCCACGCTTTCCTAAGACCAGGTCTTTTAACTCAGCTTTCCACTCCTAAAATTTCCCTGCACTTTTCCTTATTTAAAAAAATGCATCCCATCGTTTGGGTTTTGTCTTGTTTTGTTTTTTATTGTAAAGCTGCTTTCTCATCAGTCTTGGACGTTCCATTTTCTAAAGAAGCACATGTCTTTTCCAGTCTCTGAAAAGCAGGAACTTGTCCTGTCCGTCCCCGCTCCTAGCTCAGTACCTAGAACGCACACATGCTTTCATTTCAGGAAATAGTCCAATAGTCATTGTCCTCCTCCTATCTACAGTGTGACCAATGCCAACCTACTCTTTTCTCATCTCCTTTTATACCTAAATGCTAACTGTGTGTTCTGGGTGGCCAAGTGTTTTGTGGTGTGGCCTAGAAGTAATGATGGTTTATGGCAGTATGGCAATGTGCCATGTCATGGGCTGTCTCCTATGAGTTGCTTTTCTTGGTTTCAGTGAGTATGAACAACCCATGGAGGTGAAAAACAGCAGTCTGCAGAGAATGGGCTCCTCCGAATCAACTGATTCAGGTATCCTTTTAGTCTTTTATCATGTGTCTGCCTTATGGGGAGCAGTGCTTGTTTCACCTAGAAACTCAGTTTGGTGAGTTGAGGTAGTGAACAGAAGTCTGGCATTGAGTGACAGACACCTGTTAGAACAGTACAAAGGAGCCCCTGTGGCAGTATATGAAGAGAGGAAACTCAAGAGTTGGTTTATGCTTGGTCTTAAAGATGAGTACTAGTATGAAATTAACCATACCACTCTTGAAGTGGCATCGGGAAATCTTATTGGTTAAAATTCTGCGTCAAGTTATTGGAAGTATAATGAAATTATTTCATTGAGCCTGCTCTGGACAAACTGCCAGTACATCTTATTCTAACCATAAGTTCATGTTAGCTTCCCTGGTGGCTCAGTGTTAATTCACCTGCTAGCGCAAGAGATGTGGGTTCGATCCCTGGATTGGGAAGATTCCCCTGGAGAAGAAAATGGCAATCCATTCCAATATTCTTGCCTGGAAAATCCCATGGATAAAGGACCCTGGTGGGCTGTAGAATCAGACACGGCTGTAGCAAAAGAATCAGATACTAAACAACAACAAAGTTCATGTTGGGGCAAGGTTTATATGCACAGATGCTTTAGGGTAAAGAACTGCAAGAGCAAAAGTCTTAAAATTTAAGTTTCTTAAGAACCAGGGATAGGATTGTCATTTGTGGCAGTGTGGCAAGGAAGAGAGTCGTGCCAGGAGCAGTAACACCTAACTTCCTGTATGATTATTTAGACATGGTGGAGCAAAGGTGTGTGCTAGGCAGGCCCTGATGGCTCTGGGCCACGCTAAGCAGCATCTCCTTTATTCTGTTGCCTTTGAGTTGAGCACCTCACTTGGTGGTATCTTGTTGAAGGCAATAAATACTTGCTTGCTTGTCAAAGGACATAATATTTTCCAACCCCCTGAATTATTATGTACATGACCTGACAGGATATAAGATATTTGAAATAAAAAACTATTCCAGAAAACAAATAATTGTCCTTTCCATGGTTGGAACTCACAGAAAGTTAGCCTGGATAACCTCTAACTAAATTAATCATGATTTAAGACCTTTTTTTTTTTTTTTGAAGTGTAGTTGATTTACAGTGTTGTGTTAGATTCTGGTGTACAGCAAAGTAATTTAGTTATACATATATAATTCTTTTTGATTGTAGGTTATTCCAAGATATCGAATATAGTTCCCTGTGCTATGTAGTAGACCCTTGTTGTTTATCTATTTTATATATAGTAGTAGCATTCCCCGCACTGTCCCCTTTGATAACTGTAAGTTTATTTTCTAGTTTGTGAGCCTGCTTCTGTTTTGTAAATAAGTCATGAGGTTTGGTTTAATTCTGTCTCCTCATATCCTATTATCCATGATGGTGTTTGCAAGGAGGAACGCATGAGTAGATATACTATGAAAATGTTGAGACTTGTGCAAATATGACATTTTGGCAATCATGGGGATTCAGCTTCAATTCTGGCTAAAGTCTGAGCCATGAACCTTTGTTGACTGCCTCAAATAGTACTAGTAGGTTTATGTACTTATTTTAATGAATAAGTGGTGTTACAGTTTAATCACTCAGTCATGTCCAACTCTTTGCGACTCCATGGACTGCAGCAGGCCAGGCCTCCCTGTCCCTCACCAACTCTGGGAGTTTACTCAAACTCCTGTCCATTGAGTCGGTGATGCCATCCAACCATCTCATCCTCTGTTGTCCCCTTCTCTTCCTGCCCTCAGTCCTTCCCAGCATCAGGGTCTTTTCCAGTGACTCAGTTCTTCACATCAGGTGGCCAAAGTATTGGAGTTTCAGCTTCAGCATCAGTCCTTCCAGTGAATATTCAGGACTGATTTCCTTTAGGATGGACTGGTTGGATTTCCCTGCAGTCCAAGGAACTCTCAAGAGTTCTCCAACACCGCAAATCAAAAGCATCAATTCTTTTGCGCTCAGCTTTCTTTATAGTCCAATTCTTACATCCACATGTGACTACTGGAAAAACCATAGCTTTTAACTAGATGGACCTTTGTTGGCAAAGTAATGTCTCTGCTTTTTAATATGCTGTCTAGGTTGGTCGTAACTTTTCTTCCAAGGAGTAAGCATCTTTTCATTTCATGGCTGCAGTCACCATCTGCAGTGATTTTGGAGCCCAAAACAGTAAAGTCTGAGGTGTTTTTTTTTTTTCCCCACACACAGGCTTCTGTCTGGATTCTCCTGGGCCCTTGGATAGTAAAGAAAAGTATGTATTCACTGCCTTTAAATGTTTGTGCTTAGAAAAATAATTTTTCGAATGAAATTCTTCATGCTATGGACTGAAGCTCTGGATTTAGTGATCCTGATTAAGACTCCTGGATCCTATAAAGTCTGGTATCTTTCGAGATGAGTAGTTTGTGTCAGCAGTTTTTCAGAACTTCCCTTCCTTTATTTTAGCTGTAATTTTGGGGTTCTGTTCTAATGTCACTCAAACCCTTGCTCTGTCTCATTGGCCTAAGAGAACTTTGGTTTGTTTTTTATTTTGTTTTGCCTCACTTGTAGGATCTCAGTTCCCCAACCAGGGATTGAACCCAACTCATGGCAGTAAAAGTCTGGAATACCAGCCCCTAGAAAACCAGGGAACTCCCTAGAAGGTGTATATTTTAAGAGAAGATCCAGGCTTTTTTCACTAGAAGCCCAGTTATGGGGCTGCTTGTGAAAACAGAAGAGCTTTAGAAATCTATTCTTCCGTCTTGCCTAAAACAGGAATATGTTTGATGCTCCCCTCACCCCATCAAACGGTAGTTTAGACACTATGCATCTACTGATACGAATACCACTTTCCTTGCTTGATTCTCATGATTTACTTTCTGGTCTCATTGCAGCCTTGAAAATCCCACGAGGAGAATAAATCCCCTACCTGTAAGTTAGTTCCCTTGTTTCTTTTGAGCTAATAACTATTATCTGCCCCTTAGCTGCCAGTGTAACCTTGATCATAAACCTTAATTTAGACGGACTGCTTTTCCTTACTTTGTCTCATAAGTATTAAAAACATTCTACCTAAAGCAGCTTCAATAATGGTTGCCTCTTGAGGGCTTTTTCCTCCATCTTTAACTACCAGCGTTTTATCCAACCAGGAAGGGGGTTCTTTTTATGTAAATGATGTTATTTGGGGGTTGGTTTGGTACCTGAGTCCTTGCAGAGAGGGCTGTAGACCTTGTGAAGTTAGGTGTAAAGCCATAGAGTCCTAGTCACGTTAACTGGTTACCCACTGCACTGTCAGGAGCTAGACCTCCCTAACCTACCACCACCTTTTTTTTTTTTTTCTTTTACAGCTGTGTTTACATTCCATTTTCATTGATGTACCCTAATTCCTTTTTTCACTTTGACAGCAGAAGCTCTTGGGTTGTAGCCCAGCTCTGAAGAGGAGCCATTCTGATTCTCTTGACCATGATGTCTTTCAGCTGATTGACCAGGATGAGAACAAGGAAAATGTGAGTGTAGCATTAACCTACTCACCTAGGGGCAGAGCTTACACCCACAAGTGGCTTATGGAGAAGTAGCAGGGCTATCTCCTGGGAGACTAAACCTTTATCAAAGTCATGATGGTTTTTGGAGTCAGAGAAACCTGGATTGGAATCCTACTGCTTGCTAGCTGTGACCTTAGCTGTTTTTTTAGGCTTCTATGTTTCTTTGAGAAATAGGAGTAGCATTCCCTTGTAGGACTATTGTTGGAATTAAGTGAGATAATGTAGATAAAGCATTTAAAATAGTTCCTGGCAGGTAGGAGTTGCTCAAAAGGTGGCTCTTAGGGGGAATTACATCCAAGAACACTTTATGTGGAAGGGTCTGGGCAGGCCTTCCTTGCCTCTTTGTGCTCACCGTGGGATGAGTGAAAAGTTTAGGAAAAGGCTTCTTGACAGTGTTTTCAAGAACAAAGCCAACAAATCCCAGGGAATCTCGGTAACTGAAACGGTAGCTTAGAGGGTGAGTTGCAATCATGCAGCCAAAAGCCCACGAACGCCCTGGCCTGGGTTCTCTCAAACCTGCCGGGGCGCTGTGCAACAGGGCAGAGTTCAGTGAGGCAGCTCAACTTTCCATGTCTGTTTACTCCCCTTCCTCATCCTCCACTACAGTGTTACAACACATACTTAGAATCTTCTGGACTTATTACTTACAGAACCTACTGCCTCCATGAACTTTTGTAATGATTCCTTTGGCAACAGGATGTCCTAAGGGAGGTAAAGAAAGAACAGTTGAGTTCCTGTCTTCAGTGCTTGGGACACTATGTCTGCCTCTGTGTAGTGCTTTTAACCAAACAATCCAAAGCTATTATTACACTGTTGCCTGGTCTCTTTCCCACATTCCCCATCCCCTTACCCCCAGCTTGGCTTCTCCCAGAGTTGCCTGCTTATAGCTTCATTCTGAAGGGGAAACAGTGTAGGCTAAAGAGCTCTTGCTCTGGAGTTGTCCCGTCTGGGAAGCCAGACCTTAGGCACATCACTTAACCTACAGGCCTAAGTTGCCTCATCTGTAAAATGGGGATGATTGGATGGATAAATGAGCTCGTGCACTGAGCTCATACTTAGTGCTGTGTGGGCAAGTAAATACTCTGATATTAGCTGTGCTTGACGAGTTCTTAAGTGGATATTTTAGGGAAGGGGAATTATGAGTGTTTCTAAACTTTTACGTAAAATGAAATCATACAGTATGTGTTCTATCACTTTTGGCTTTCACTCATCATTATGTGAGATTCATCCATGTTATTGAATAAACTAAAAGGGTCTTTTTTCCCAGTTTTATTGAGAAATAATTGACATATATCACTATAAATTTAAGGCATACAGCATGATGGTTTGATTTACATATATCATGAAATGATTACAGTAGGTTTAGCTAACATCCATCTTCTCATATATTGATAGATACAATAGAAGAAAAAGGAAAAAGAGGAAATTGTCTCCTTGTGATGAGAACTCTTAGAATTGACTCTCTTAAACTTACTGTACAGCAGTGTTAGCTACAGTTATGTTGCCATTAGTTTTTTTCTTCATTGCTTTTATTATGGAAAACAATAACATTAAATGTTTTCCACTTAATTGTCTCCTATTGGTAGAAAAAGATGGAAAATATAAAGTCCTCAAGTACAAGTCTAGACTGAAAAGTTTCAACTCCTGTTCAATTATATTGAAATGAAATTGCTTTAGACTTCAGAAAAAAATTTTTTTAATCAAAATATAATTGATAGCAAGCTGCTGATTTAGTTTGTTGTTGTTGATTTTTTTTTTTTTTTTTTTGGTTGTTGTTGTTGATTTAGTTTTTAACTCTGCCTTGTGTACCTGGCAAATACTCATGTGTTTGTTAGGAAATAAAGTGTTTGTGGTAAGAGAAAAAAGTTCTATTATTAGAAGTTAGCTTTTGTCTGTGGCCATACCACCCTTAATGCACTCGATCTCATCTGATCTCAGAAGCTAAGCAAGGTCAGACCTGGTTAGTACTTGAATTGGAGAAGTTAGCTTTTGACAGAATCTTTAAAATACCTGGTTTGTTTTTTTTTAATTAATTTTATTTTTTGTTCTGCTGGGTCTTTGTTGCCGCATGCAGGCTTTCTAGTTGCATTAGTTGGGGGCTTCTCTTGTTGCGGAGCACAGGCTCTAGGCTCGTGGGCTTCAGTAGCTGCAGCTCGTGGGCTGTAGAGTGCAGGCTCAGTAGACGTGCCGCACGGCACAACTTTGTTGCTCCGTGGTATGTGGGATCTTCCCGGACCAGAGGACCTATGTCCCCTGCATGGCAGGCCGGATTCTTATCCACTGCAACACCAAAGAAGTCCTGAAATTCTTAAGTTACACAGATCCAGTGAATTAGATGAGACATGGGTTTGGAGATAGGTGATCAGTACCCACTCTCTTGCCTGCCTTCCAGACCTGTAGCTGAGACCCTAGAGCTGGTTTTCACAGACAGTAGATGATGTCTCATCTATACTGTCTTGCAGGAAGTTTTTGAGTTTAAGAAGCCAATAAGACCTGCGTCTCGAGGCTGCCTACACGTTCACGGACTGGAGGAGGGTAAAGATCTCTTCACACAGAGGCAGAACTCCGCCCCAGCTCGGATGGTATGTGCTTTCATACTCCTGGGAGTTCCTGATGGGAAGATGAAAGCCTCCGCAATCTGGAGTTAAAGACCCTGCAGCAGCTCTAGCTGTCTTTACCTTGACTTTGTCTTTTGAAACTCACATGTTTTGAGACTCACACGTTCGGTGTTTCTGCTGTGTCTGGAGAGCAGACAGGCAGAAGCAGGGTGAGAGGAGGTGGTGTGTTTGAAATACTGGACTCGAGCAAGGCATATTTGACCTTGTCAGTCCTGGGTCATTCTTCTGAATGTGTGGATGGTGGGATTATCCGTCCTACTGAAAACTTGCTTTCTGAGTGCTGAGAGGTACTTCCCAGAGTGATTTTGTTTGGAGCGAGGGTGTGATTTCTACCAAACTTGGTTTATTAAGAACTATTAGGTATTCCAGTGAACCCATTGCCTACAAGGCTATTTTACGGTATTTGGGGCCACTTGTCCCAGGATTGTTTGTTTGTCAGAGATGGTCATTTCTTCCAGATTTCCTACTGGTGATCTGATGGACAGACAGCTGTGGACTAGAGAGGCCCAACTTGAGCAAAATGACCATGTTCGGTTTCCACGTTTTCCCAGGAACTTGTATCCTTAAATACACCTTTCCAGTCTGGCTTAGGGCCTGAGGTTCGGGTTCAGCTAGTAAAGAGGCTGCTCAGTAAACTTGAAGGTCACTTGAGGATTAATGCATTCATACCCCACCCCAAAGAGATTTACTATTATGGGAGAGAGAAAAAATCTATCTCTGGACTTTTTTACTATCTTTGAAAAGTACCTAGAAAAGAATTCATTATTAACAGTGTTTGTCTGTAGATGGTAGATTTTTGAGTGGGTTTTGTAAATTTTCTATATTGAATTTTTTTTAAGGTTTTTATAATTTATGTATTAATTTTTTACTGTGCTGGGTATTTGCTGCTGCTCAGGCTTTTCTCTAGTTTTGGACAGCTGCGGCTGTTCATGGCAGTGTGCGGGCTTGTCATTGCGGTGGCTTCTCTTCTTGTGGACAGAGATCGTGTCTGTCGGTCACCTGGGCTTCAGTTGTTGTGGCATGTGGGCTCAGCAGTTCCCAGGCTCTAAAGCACAGGCTCAATAGTTGTGGCACGTGGATTAGTTGCTCCCAGGCATGTGGGATCTTCCCAGATCAGGGATTGAACCTGTGTCTTCTGCATTGGTAGGTGAATTCTTTACCACTGAAACACCAGGGAAGCTCTGTAAATCATTTTATAATGGGAGTTTTACTGAAAAAAACAAGATAGGATTGCCTAATGAGATACAGTCTATTTTGACTCCAGGAATGGTCTCTCCTAGGGAGAGTATAATGGGCAGAAAAGCTTGGATTTTGCAGTCAAACAAGTGAGCGGTGTGATCTTGGTAACCTCTCTTAAGCATCGGTTTCCTGATTTGTTAAATAAAAATGGAAAATAGAGGATTAACTACCCTTAGTATGTTGTGAGGCTTAAATGGGACTATACATAAAAGGTTATATCCCAGTCTGAAAACAGGGCTTCCCTCATAGCTCAGTCGGTAAAGAGTCTGCCTGCAATGCAGGAGACCTGGGTTTGATTCCTGGGTCGGGAAGATCCCCTGGAGAAGGAAATGGCAACCCACTCCAGTATTCTTGCCTGGAGAATCCCATGGACAGAGGAGCCTGGCGGGCTACAGTCTATGGGGTTGCAAGAGTCGGACACGACTTAGCAACTGAGCACACAGCAGCACACCCAGTGTCTGGCCAAGTAATTCCTCAGTTAAAACTGAGCAGCTGTCATTTAAATTGTGAGTCTATAAAGAACAAGGATGGGTTTTCTAGAACTTTCTAGACTTTATATCCCTCTGTCAGAACTGGAGTTACAGAAACATTTCTCTAGTCCGTTTTGTGGTCTCCATAGGGACTTGGTATCTTCTCACCCTTCCTCATTTTAGCAGATTGTCACCTGTCACTACCCTCATGCTCATCCCTGTTCACCAGTAATAATCCTCAGGAAAAACAAGCCTTGCCCTTCATCAGAAGCTAGCCTCATATCCCACTGTGAGGTGAATTGCTCCTGGGGAGACTTCTTTGTGAAGGCTACTTTGCCTGACTCGACTCAGAACTATGTGTGGACATTAGTTCATTTATAATCTTAGGTCTTATTTTTCCTTTGATTTGTAGCTGCTAAAACGAATATGGTATATTTTCCTCATAAAAACTAGTAACCCATTCAGGGAAATCAAAGCTGATTATTAACAAGCCATGAATTCTGTCTTGTAGCTTTCCTCAAATGAAAGAGATGGCAGCGAACCAGGGAATTCCATTCCTTTTATGCCCCAGTCACCTGTGACTCCCACTTTGTCTGATGAGGATGATGGCTTCATGGATCTTCTTGATGGAGACAATTTGAAGGTATGGGGGGTGTGTGTGTTTTCCCATCCATTTTTACTAACTTCCCCTGGAAAGCCGTCATCTGGAAAAGAACAGTGATCCCCCAACTGGCTGATACTTAAATTTTAAGATTTTATTTACTTATTTGATTCATTTTTTGGCTGTATTTGTTCCCTGTTGCTGCACGTGGGCTTTCTCTAGTTGCGGCGAGCTGGGACTACTCTTCTGTTGCGGTGCCGGGGCTTCTCACTGCGGGGGCTTCTCGCTGTGGAGCACGGGCTCTAGGCGCGTGGACTTCAGTAGTTGCAGCTCGTGGGCTCCAGAGCACGGGCTCTGTAGCTGTGGTCCACAGGCTCAACTGCTCCACAGCATGTGGAATCTTCTCGGGCCAGGGGTTGAACCCGGGTCCCTTGCATTGCACGGAGGATTCTTAACCACTGGATCACCAGGGAAGCCCTGGCTGATGCTTTTATTCATCTCTTGGGAATTTATTGAGACTCTGCTTCTAGCCTGATTAAATTCTATGGAAGTGTTCCAAAGAAAACACCGTTGTGATCCTTCTTCCCCTGCAGGAGCTGACAATCATTGTTGTTGTTGTTGTTTTTTGGAAGAACCTGAATCAGGGACTGGAAGAATGGCTGCCACGTGATATAAAGCTGAGGAGACCAGTGCCTCCTCATGGCCCCTCAGGGACATTCCCTTAGCTATGCTCAGATATCATCACTCTTACTCTCTCGACCTTAAAACATTGTGGAGAGGGGAGGCATTGACCCTTAGAAGACTTCCTATTCATGCCTTTCTGGTATTCTGCAAGAAGAAATCTAATGCATTTAAACTAATGTTGTTTCTACTGGACCTTTGGACCTTTATGACACAGTTTTTCTTTGTTTAGAATGATGAAGAGACACCGTCCTGCATGGCCAGCCTCTGGACAGCTCCCCTTGTCATGAGAAGAACTACGAACCTAGTAAGTTCCAGTGTGTCTGGAGGGAGCCACAGGAATCCAGATAGTTTCTTTTGAGATTCTGCGTTTGAGCCTATGGGCCTGTCCCTTGGCTGGTCACTAGTGTTTCCTGGTGTTAATGTATGCTGTTTTTTCAAGAGTTTTTGTTTTGTTTTAATACCCACCTACTGTGTAGACTGTAGACGTCTGTTTCCATCAGGGACACTTTCAAAGGCTGTGCCTGTAGAGGGACACATCCTCATATGTGCAAACATCCAGGGAAAGTGAGTTCTTATCATAGTTACACACCCTTATATGTATAGACGCTGAGTACATCTTTAATCATGCCCCTGAGTTATAAATATGGAACAAATGAACTATTCCAGTCTTGGAATAGTAGATTAATGTGGAAAGCTTTGAGAGATTACGCCACCCCAGTAAAAATGATATGACCAAATTTACTAGGTCCTTTTGAAAGATAACATTATTAACATATACAGTGTGAGAATGCTTGGAAAATGGCTATCAGTTTTATAAGTTGGATGTAAAAACCATGAAACAGTATGTGTAGGCCCTTCACAACAGCAGAGTTTCTTTCACAAACATAGTAAACTCATAATGACCAGGGGCTGAGTTGGAACTGGGGTTTCTGCCCTTGAAGAGCTTACAAATCATCTGAGACCTTAACTGAAAGCAGTAGACCCTCCTTCCAAAAATGCTTCCAGCTCTTCTAGGTTAAAAACAAACAAACAAAACCTGTGATCTTGCTTTTCTGAACAACATCCTTTTAAAATGAACTTCAGAAAAATAAGCAGAAAACCCTTGGTCTCTGAGAGAGGCAATGTGGGGGTGACACTTGCTGCGAACTATTAGGAACATTTCAAAAGAAGAGGCAGCATTGAAATTCACCAGCTTGAAAAGGAGTGCTTTATGGGGGAGAGGGGGTGCAGGGGGTGTGTGAAAGGACACCAAGCTGTGAACGGGCTGAGATGAGTTTAGATTGCTGGAGTCAGACTGTCTCTACCACTAATCAGACTGGCTGCTCTCAAACCCCCAAAAATTAGTCCTTAGAACAAGGAGTACTATAGCACATCTTGCTATATTTCCTTTGGCTTTGTAAGTCTTAAATTTAAGATGCTCTGGTACAGTCCAGAAAGAAAAATAGCCAAGCAGAGAGAATGACTTCTAAACAGTTTTGAAGGCACCCCTGCCCACTGCAAACTCAAACTCAACTCTATTTTATCCCCTTAACTGGCTCTAATATATAGTATAATCCAGCTGCCTCATGCCTTTCTGGATTTAGGGGGGCTGTTAAAACCTCTTTGAGCTGCTCGAGCAAGTTGCAAGTAGTAAAGTAGAGGGGAAGAGGAAGGCAGACGTGTGGCCCTGGCTGGAAGGTAACCTTTTGACTCTTAGGACCCTGTGCAGAATATAGGCTTTTCAGGGCATGGGTAGTCTTACTTATTTGTATCCAGTGTCAGGTTTTGAACATGTTCAGTGAACACTAGGGTCTCAGTGTCTGCTGGGTGCCAAAGACTAGATAAATGGACAGTGTCTGTTTCCTAATTTAGGATGTGTGCTAAGTCCCTTCGGTCGTGTCCAACTCTGCAACCCTATAGACTGTATGCCACCAGGCTCCACTGTCCATGGGATTCTCCAGGCAAGAATACTAAATGTGTTGCCATGCTCTCCTCCAGAGGATCTTCCTGACCCAGAGATTGAACCCAAGTTTCTTATGTCTCCTGCATTGGCAGACAGGTTCTTTACCACTAGCACCACCTGGGAAGCCCAATTTAGAATGGCTTGATCTTAAACCATTGCAGGAAGTCCTTGGTCTGTCCTCTTTACCATTCAAATCAGTGTATTTTAATGAAACATGGATCTCTTTTTTTCCCCAAAGGGCAATCGCTGCAAGCTGTTTGACTCCCCTTCCGCGTCGTGTAGCTCTACCATCCGGTCAATGTTGAAAAGACCAGACCGATCACTAGAGGAGTCCCCAGGTGGAAACAGGAAGCGGAGGAAAAGCGTGGCTGGGGCCAGTCCGGAAGAGGCAGCTAGTCCAGAGAAGCCCCAGGAGGTTAGTTCTGCAGCTTCTTTTTCGCTCAAGGATATTGTATCTTTCAGTTCTAAAATGCATGTTTGGTTCTTTTTCTTTGCTGAGACTGTTTTTATTTTTCATTTGTTTCAGTCCTGTTCAGAATTGCCTGTTGAAGCATTTTTATGATGGCTACTTTAAAATCCTTGTCGGGTGGTCCCAGCATCTGCGTCTGCTGTGGCTTTCTGTTGATTGTCTTTTCCTATCCAGGTTGAGATTTTTCCTGGTTCTTGATACGACAAGAGATTTGTATCTGTGTACCTGGGATATTATGAGGCTATGTAAGTGCTGTCTTAGTAGTGCTCCGATACTGCAGGGGAGGGGGCAGCCACCCTGGATGTGCCACTTAGGCAGGCCAGGCCTCGTGGCCGCTGGGCAGGGCTCGGAAGTTCAAGCTCCCTTCTAGGCCTCCGCCGACACCATCCCAGTGAGGTCGATTGGGACACTTAATTACAGCTGGGCCAGGGTGGAAGTCTAAGCTCCCCACTTGCTGTTGGGTCCTGGACTAGGGCCATAACTTGTTTCCCTTGGTTGGTTTTTATGTCTTGTTTTTTTTTTCTTTTTTCTTTTTTCTTGTGTCCTGACCTATTTAGGACTACTTTAGGTTTGTCTCACAACTTTGATTATAGTGTTTTTTGTTGTCACTTAGTATTTTAGTTCTTATTTCTCTGTGATGAGAACTCAGGATTTATTCTCAACTACTTTCATATACACCATACATCCGACCTAACTATAGTCATTATGTTGTATATTACATCTCTGGTACTTGTCTCATAACTGGAAGTTGTACATTTTGACCACCTTCATCCGGCCCCCCTCCTCCATTACTTACCTCTGGTCACCCCACAAATCTGACCCCCTTTTCTACGAGTTTGATTTTGTTCTGGTGGTTGTGTTAGTGGTTAGCATTAGGTGTTTTCAGTTTTTTCATTCCCCGTACACACGATGTCATGTACTTGTTTGTCTTTCTCTGTCTGACTTCAATTTCACTCAGTATAATGCCGTCAAGGTCCTTCCATGTTGCTGCAAATAGCAGGATTTCCTTCTTTTTGTATGGCTGAATAATAATCCATTGTGTGTATGTGTATCCCAGCTTCCTCATCCATTCATCTGTTAGTGAACACTTTTTTCCGTGTCGTGGCTATTATAAATAATGCTGCTGTAAAGTGAGTGCAGATCTCTCTTAACATAGTGTTTTCGTTTCCTTCAAATATGTTCCCAGAAGTGGTGTTGCTAGATCGTATGTTCTGTTTTCGACTTTTTAAGGAACGTCCATACTGTTTTCCATCGAAGCCATCCCAAACTTTATAGCCCTACAAATACTGTACAAGTGTTCCCTTGTCTTCACATCCTTATCAACACTTGTTTCTTGTCTTTTTTTTTTTTTTTTTGGCCACTCCATGCGCTTAGGGGATCTTAGTTTCCTTGCCAGGGATTGAACTCAGGCCCTAGGCAGTAAAAGTGTGGAGTCCTAACTGGACCACCAGGGAATTGCTCTTGTCTTTTTTTTTTTTCTTTTTTTTTAAGTGATTCATTTTATAATCTGATTTTTTTTTCTTGTTTGGCTGTGCTAAGTCTTCGTTGCTGCTTAGACTTTTCTAGTTGCGGTGAGCAGGGGCTATTCTACAGTTATGCGTGGACACCACTTCGCGGTAGCTTCTCTTGTTGCAGAGAACAGGCTCTAGGGCACTCGGGCTTCAATAGGTGCAGCATGTGGGCTTGTTGTAGCCACACGTTCCAGGAAACAAACCCACTCAGAAGGACAATGCAGATAGTGGAGTGCAGTTTATTTACACTGGCGGGCCCAAGGCAGAGTCTCCTCTTAGCCAAGGACCCCAACCAATTTTTGTGAAAACCTTATATACCCTAAGCATACGTGCCCAAACCCACCTCCCCAAATTCCCTGAAACTAGTCTGAACAAAGGAAAAAGAAAGATAACAATCAAAGTCAACCCATGATTCGTATGCCTTAAACCTAGGTAGTTAACAGTGGACAATTAACAATAGGCTTGTGGTCGTTCCCCGGTAAGCATAATAGAATGTATGATTCTATTTGGTCACACAGACTATTAGGGTGTTCTTTTAGGTGATGGAGCATCCTGGCACTCTTCCTTCTGGGGGCCTGGCTTTTCCAGTTGGTGTGTCGTTTCCATAGATACTGGGCATAGAGCTCAAAGTGCATAGTCCAGCCCAAGATGGAGTCCTGCTTTCAAGGCTGTTTCCTCCTTCAGGCTCAGTAGTTGTGGCACACAGACTTAGTTGCGCCAAGGCACGTGAGATCTTCCCGGATTGGGGATCGCACCCATGTTGCCTGCATTGACAGGCAGATTCTTACCACTGAGCCACCAGAGAAGCCCCATTTTGCCTTTTTGATGGTAGTCTTTCTTTTTTTATTATTTTTTTTTTCATTTATTTTTATTAGTTGGAGGCTAATTACAACATTGCAGTGGTTTTTGTCATACATTGACATTAATTAGCCATGGATTTACATGTATTCCCCATCCCGGTCCCCCCTCCCACCTCCCTCTTGACCCGATCCCTCTGGCTCTTCCCAGTGCACCAGGCCCGAGCACTGTCTCATGCATCCAACCTGGGCTGGTGATCTGTTTCACCCTAGATAATACACGTGTTTCGATGCTGTTCTCTTGAAACATCCCACCCTCGCCTTCTCCCACAGAGTCCAAAAGTCTGTTCTATACATCTGTGTCTCTTTTTCTGTTTTGCATATAGGGTTATCGTTACAATCTTTCTAAATTCCATATATATGTGTTAGTATACTGTAATGGTCTTTATCTTTCTGGCTTACTTCACTCTGTATAATGGGCTCCAGTTTCATCCATCTCATTAGAACTGATTCAAATGAATTCTTTTTAATGGCTGAGTAATATTCCATGGTGGATGATAGTCTTTCTTATAGACATGAGGTGATATCTCATTGTAGTCTGGATATTGATCATCTTTTCATGTACCTGTTGGCCACTTGTGTACCTTTGGGAAAATGTCTATTCGGGTCCTTTTCTGTTCTTAAAACTGGATTATTTGGGAGGTTTTTTGGTTTTTTGGGGGGTGGTTATTAAGTTATATGGATTCCTTACATTTTGGATATTAACCTCTTATCAGATAATGTGGTTTGCAGATATTTTTTCCAGTTCTGTAAGTTGTCTTTTCATTTTGTTGATCATTTCTTTTAATACGTAGAAGCTGTACTTCAGGATGTACCTTAGGTATCAGATCCAAAAAAATCATTGCCTAAGACCCACATCAAGGAACTTTTTTCCTGTGTTTTCTTCTAGGAGTTTAACAGTTTTCCTGTCTCAAATTTAAATCTTTACTCCATCTTGAGTTATTTATTGTGAATAAAGTAAGATGGGGGGCCTAGTTTCATTCTTTCACATGTGAATATTGCATTTGCCTGGCACCATTTACTGAAAAGACTTATCTTCTCTTCATCAAGCATTCTAGTTTCTAGTTGATGGTATCTGTGCTGTTTCTCTTGTGAACATGCACTTTGATTTTTCCTGTGGGCTCTCTGTGTCCTAGGCTAGGTATGTGTTTAGCTTTAGTAGACATTGCCACGTAACATTCCAAAATGTTTGTCCAGTCAACCCTCTATATCGGGTCTCCACATCCATGGATTCAACTAACTTTGCAACCCATGGCTACTAAGCACTACTGAGCACCAACTGCACTATGTGCCATTTAATATAAGCATCCTTGGGCATCCTGAAACCAGTTTCAGGGATACCAAGGGCCAGCTGTACTCACAACAGTGTGAGAGTTCAGTTCTTCCACATCCTTACCAGTATCCGGTGTTGTTCATCCCTTTTACCCATTCTGGGGCATGTGTAGCATGGGCATGTGCATGCTCAAGTTGTGTCCGACTCTCTTTGACCCTTTGACTGTAACCCACCAGCCCCATTGGATTTTCCAGGCAAGAATACTGGAGTGGGTTCCCATTTCCTCCTTCAAGGGATCTTCTTAACCCAGGGATTGAACCTACGTCTCCTTTGTCTCCTGCATTACAGGCAGATTCTTTACCACTTGAGCCATCAAAGGGAAGCCTGTGTAGTATCTCATTTTGCATTTCTCTGATAGTCATTTTTCTAGATTTTCCTATTACCCAACCACCTTTCTAGCCTATTTGGGTTATCTCTTACTTGTGAGAATGCTTTATATATTCAGAAATGAATCTTTTATTGAGATGAATTATTTATCTGCCCACTCTGACTTGCCTGTTCTTACCTCATCTTGTTGTTTTGATTAACAGAATTTGTTGCTTTCTTTAAAACATGTTTTAATTTACCAGTCTTTTTATGTTTAGTGCTTTTTGTGTACTGTTTAAGATATCCTGGCTTCCCCACGATTAGCCCTTTTGACATGCTCTTTGAAATATGAGCGCTTCCTTGCTATTGATGACAAGGTGACCAGGTTTATCTTGGACATTTCTTGTCCCAGCCTGGATTCAGTCAGAAAGCTCTGGCTTCAATCAACACCTGTTACAGTATGTGTGAGATGTGGAGTGGTTTCTCTGACCTCTGTGTTCAGGGGTCAACTGTAGTGTTTAGGGAACACATTGACAAAGGGGTACTTACTGCACTCCTGCAGCGTCTCAGTGAGTAGAGCTGAGAAATAATTTTTATAGACTTAAAACTAAATCTTTCATTTTTAAAAAGGAAAAAGCCTTTATTCTGAAGCCTGGTCTCATTCTCAACCTTTGGTTTATTACAGATTCTACATCATCAGTCTTTATCCCTAGCATCTTCCCCAAAAGGGACCATTGAGAACATTTTGGATAATGACCCACGGGACCTTATAGGAGACTTCTCCAAGGTAACTGCAAGCAGAACTACACTGTGATGCAGGATGGGGGAGGTACCTAACACTGCCTCCAGCCTTCCGCCCCTGAAGTGGCTGCTGGAGTATGCAGCCTCCCCTCCAACCCCCACTGAGGGGACACAGTTTGAAATTTTTTTAAAATAAGGAAACAAATTCATAATCAGGTGTATCTCCATTTCTTGGGGACTATAGACCTTACTAGTGCTGATCAGAGGTTTCAAGTAGGGAGCCAGCCGCCTGGACACCAACCCAAAGACCAGTGTCTCTGGGAACTGTGTGATTATAAAAGCAGTGCTGCAGAAGAGTGTAAAGAAGCAGAAATGAATCTCTAGCCTTACTGTATATAAGTCTGTATGTCAAAAGGTCATCTTAGGGGACTTCCCTAGCGGTCCAGCAGCTGAGATTCCGTGCTCCCAATGCAGGGGGCCTGGGTCCAATCCCTGGTCAGGGAACTAGATCCCACACACCACAGCAAAAAAAATTCTGCATGCCGAAGATTGAAGATTCTATGTGCTGAAACTAAGAGTCAGTGCAGCCAAGTTAATTAATTAATTAATTTTTTAAAAAGAAAGTCATCTTAGAATGTCCCGGATGGAGACTAAATTTCTCCCCTGTCCAGAGGAGCATGGTCCTTGTGGGAAAATGCCCCCAGGGGAAGGTCTGCTGATGGCCTGGTTCAGATTAGCCACCTTTGTGCTCTGGTGAAATGTGACACCTTCCTATATCAGTAGTAACTTGTTTAGCCATGTGTAACTTGAAGGTCCCCAGACCAGTCTTTTATATATTAATGTTGCTCACATTTACTGAAACACTTCCTATGTGTAAGGCAAAGATTCCAAAACAAGACACAGTTCCTTCCCTCACGACACTTAACATGTGGTAAGACATCACGCCACGTGGACATGTACCACCCGGTAACTGAAGTAAACATCAATGTGAGCATTAGACAAGAAATAAGAGAGTTATGTCAGCTAGGCGGTTGGGGAGGCTCTGGGCCTGGGCTAGACATTTCAACCAGGTGGGAGAGAGAAGTGGATTAAAAACAGAAGACAGGACTTCTCTAGGGGTCCAGCGGATAAGACTCTGCACTTCCAACACTAGGGACCTGGGTTCAATCTGAGAGCTAAGGTCCCACATGCCAGCATGGCCAAAAAAAATAGAAGACAGTTCTAGTCTGAAGGGAAGAGCAGGCCAAGACCTGGGTGTGGTGTGTCCTTGCTGGTAAAAGCTTGCGTCTGAACTGAAGCTATTGGTTTGTTGTCAGAATGGCCCACACGTGACCACAGGGTTGGGTGAGCACTCGACTCTGCCAGTCACCCTCGTAATTGCTGGTGTGCCCATCCTCCCCGCTCCAGGCTGGGTGGGTCTCACTTGTTCCACCTCCAGTGTCTCCTCCAGCACCGTGCTGCAGAAGTCAGGTGCTCAGTAAACAGTGAAGTCATTCCTCACTGTGTCCTTTTTAAGTGCTGAGCACAGTCTGGCTGCTGACATGAGGGTTCCTGACAAAAGCAGGCGGTAAATCTGAGGTTTCTAGATTGAGATCTGGCTTGCTTACTGGCTAACCTTGGACAAGGGACCTAGTTTTGACATCTACAAATGGGGATAATAGACCTCATAGGGCCATACGAATATTCAATCTCAGGATATTAATGAAGTGCTTACACAAATAACCAGCATGTTCTATTAGATTCATGTTTTTTTTGTTTTTTTTTTAAGCTGCCTTTTACCAGGAAGGCAAGCAATATAAATTTTGCCTTTATAAGCTTTCAGATTTGCTAAGTATTTCTTTCTCTTATTAAGGGTTACCTCTTTCATACCGTTGCTGGGAAGCATCAGGATTTAAAATACATCTCTCCAGAAATTGTAAGTTATCCTTCGGGGACCTGCCACCCATGTGATACTGGGATCTAGTCATTCCTGGCAGCCAGAGTTGACTCTCCTTGGCTCTCTCTCCACAGATTGCATCTGTTTTGAATGGCAAGTTTGCCAACCTCATTAAAGAGTTTGTCATCATCGACTGCCGATACCCATATGAATATGAGGGAGGCCACATCAAGGTATAGATTCCTGAGGCTTGTGAGTAAACCCTGCTACTGTGGGAGGCATAGCAGGAGCCCTATAGACAGTATCTGTGATTTATTTTTATTTTAAAGGAGGGGATGATACCTGGCTGCTTATTATAGTGCTCACATGCTGCTTATGAGAACTGTAAATAGAGGCAGCGGGTGTGAAAGGCATTTGATTCCTGGTCGCTGAAAGAATGTCCACTGGTGTGCACTAATTGTACAGCAAACTGCTTCCTGTTTTGTCCCCCATGCCATCACCATCAGGGGCATTTCAAGGTGGTATCCACTGACTTCTAAGCCATGCCTGAACATGAAGCCGTGAGGAGAAGCCAGCCTCTGGCCACATGGGCCAGGCCTAGTGATGTCTCTTACATTTATAGTTGAGTTAAACTGTCTGGTGAAGTGGGTGTTGGAGCAGTTCATGTGTAACTTTCCCAGGAAGAAAGCAATTGGATTGAAATACATTATGTGCCTGTGTGAAATTGCTTCAGTGTCTGACTCTGTGACCTGTGCATGGGGGGAGCCGAGCCCGCCAGGCTTCTCTGTCCATGGAATTCTCCAGGCAAAAATCCTGGAGAGGGTTGCCATGCCCTCCTCCAGGGGACCTTCCCAACCCAGGGGTCGAACCTCTGTTTCTTATGTCTCCTGCTTTGGCAGGTGGGTTCTTTACTACTAGTGCCACCTGGGAAGCCCATTAAAATACACTAAGAGGTAATTTAAAGACAGTGTTCGAGTCTGCCACTCTTAAGGCAGTGAAAGTCCCTACATTGACAAATACCTCTCACAGCGGACAGTCATAACAGAATCTTGAGGTACCCATGTGAAGATCAGTCTCCAAGAATCATTACCGCCAGCATGAGAGCTAAGCCTCTGGTGTTTTCACAGGGTGCAGTGAACTTGCACATGGAAGAGGAGGTTGAAGAGTTCTTACTCAAGAAGCCCATTGTACCTACGGATGGCAAACGTGTTATCGTGGTGTTCCACTGCGAGTTTTCTTCTGAGCGAGGCCCTCGCATGTGAGTGGGCTAAGTATCGTTCATGTGTAACAGATGTTCTCTTAAATTCTTACCTACTGAGCAGTCAGTTGATTTCATGAACAGCTTCCTAGAGTGTAGTTTTAGGCTCGACCTAATGGTTTCACCACAGCCCTTGTTAAGGCCTTTGAAGGGCTCTGTGGCCTCCCCAGTCCAGCATATTACACTGGTGTTCCCTCTGCAACATGCCCCAGGGATCGGGCATCTGCTTCATCACCCCGACTCCTGAGTGAGTCCTGGCCACTTCTGGGCTCGGCCCATCGTTCAGCCTGCCTTTATATTGAATTAAACTCTGAAAAAAAAAAAAAACTGGCTCTCAGTTCCCTCACTGCCCCTAGTTCTGCTTATGGGGCTGCTGTTTGCAGGTAACATCCTTCATGGACAGTCTGGTGACTCCTTATGCAAATGCCAGAAAAGTCTGATGTCCTGTTGGCAAAACTAACATGATGCTTTCAAACACTTGTCAAATCCATGTTCGCAAAGAAGGGGATTATGTTACTTTCAGGATATTGCCACACTAGAGGTGAAAAGAACTGCGCCGCCTGCCCCTCCCTAATACACAAGCTTTTATGACTAAGGCCCTATTATAGTTTACTACAGAGATAAGTTTTATACTAAAATAAGTGGAAGTATAGCTACAATAAAGCATCAGATTTAAAATAACCGGTGGTGGTGGTAGCAGAGGGGACGTTGGATCGGAATCAGACACTGTATAACTTGGAAAGTGGGGAGGAGACCATCCACCTTACAAGACAAGGCAGTGGAACTGGCTGTGAACAGGGTTCCTGAGGATCACAGGTGGCAGAGGAAATCATAGCTGGGCACTGTTGCCAGGAGTGAAGATCAAGTTGGGGAGATGTGTGAGAAGCACTGCTTTCACTGCAGAACTAACCAGACTCTGGCTCTCCTTCCCCTTTACAGGTGCCGATACGTGAGAGAGAGGGATCGGCTTGGTAACGAGTACCCCAAACTCCACTACCCAGAGCTGTATGTCCTGAAGGGCGGATACAAGGAGTTCTTCCTGAAATGCCAGGTGAGATGGACTCTCTGGAGGGCACAGGCCACCCCTCACCACCCCCTAGTTGGTGGTCATGGCTGTTTCCTGCCCAGGGTCTGGGGGTTTGCCCTGAGCACAGAAGGGGCCTAGAACTGCCCCCCTACCCCGCCCCAGCAGAGCCTTGTGGCCCCCGGCAGGGAGGGAGCAGGAGTGTGCGTGGGAGGCCCGGTGTGCCCAGACCTTGTCCTGTCTTCCTGCCAGTCTCACTGCGAGCCCCCCAGCTACCGGCCCATGCACCACGAGGACTTTAAAGAAGACCTGAAGAAATTCCGCACCAAGAGCCGGACCTGGGCCGGGGAGAAGAGCAAGAGGGAGATGTACAGCCGCCTGAAGAAGCTCTGAGGTCTGGCGGCCAGGCGGCGGCAGCCTCCCCGCCCTCCCTACTCCCCTCTTTGCTGCAGAGGAACTTGAGCAAAGGGGCCAGCGGCACAACACTTGAAGAGAAGGGCGGAGGCCTCCACGTCTTAAGCCTACCTCCCACCCTCCCGAGGTTGGAGCCCGGAGCTTCCTGCCGCCTCTCCGTCCCTGGAAGACGTCCTTCTTCAGCAGGGCGCTCAGCCAAGGCTGTCACATGCCGCAGCAGGGTTCCAAGCAGCAAGTCAGGGCGTTCTGCCTCCTCCTCCCCCATGGTTGGATGGGCCCCCTGTGGCCTCGCTGGGCACTGGTCTTGTCTCCTGAGGTGAGAGACGGAGAGAAGACTGCCAGACGCTGCTGGCCAGACACCAAAGACGGCCCGGGAAGCACAGGGCTTTGTGGGCTAGCCCACATTATTAATTTATTCAACTTCACCAATCACTTTCTTTTCTTTCTTTTTTTTTTAAAAATCAACTCCTGGAGACTTTTATTTAATTGCTTCTTTCAGTAAGAATACTGCCATCCTAGGTAGGATTTTATCATCCCGGGGACTACCTCTGCCTTTCATTTTTAAAGAAAAAAAGAATAAAGGAGGGGGAAGAAAAGGGACAGGAGTTGTGGGACAGAGAACAGGGGGCTCTGTCTGTCTCCCCTGGGAGGCGCTGCAGTACTGGGACCGCTGCTATTTACAGCCAAGGACTGAGACGCTGGTGGGAGCAGGCACCGGACTCAGCTTGGCTTAGGACATAAGCTAAATCTCCCAGACCTACCTCGAAGGCCCCTGAGACCTACTGGGGGGGGGAGTGACCCTGCTCTTCCTCACCCCAGCTCCCTGTGATGTCACTGGGCAAGAGTCACGATCAGGAAAGCACTGGAGGCAGCTTCTGTGGGGCCACCCCCAAGTCAGTGTTGAAACGTATAGAATAGGCATCCCAGTGTCGGGGGGCAAGGAAGGGGGGCTCTGTGGGATAAGGGAAGGGAGTATACTTTTGAGTACTTCCTTCATTACTCTGATACTCTTTGACAGCTTCTGTTTTTTTTAAAAAAATAGCCCTTTTATGAGTCAAGGAGTATGGAATCAGTGGTGGCTGGGCCCCCCAAGGGTGAAGAGAGGGGCTGGAAGCCCCGGGTATTAGAAAGGAGTGGGTGCTGGCAGAGATGACTACAGAGTGTGTTTCTCAGGAGACAGCAGTGTGGTGGGTTTTGAAGGTAAAACTTTGAGTTTATCATGTTTTAATTTGAGGGGCGGGGAGAGATGGGTCATCACCGGTTGCCCCTCATCTCACCCCACCGAAGTGGGGATCTCAAAGGAACACCTCCCAAGGAGCTGGGGCTGAGTGGATTGATTGCAGACAGGGCTGTTTGGTGCCTGCTCATCCCCACCCTTAGGTGCTGGCTTCCTCACCATCTCTGCTCCACTGGGGTGTTGCCAAGTTTTTCTTATATTCAAGAGTCAGTCTCCCTTCTTGCCTCAGCTTCCTTTTCTGAGGGTGGGGAGGAAATCAGTGATACTGGAGATGACTGGTTGCGATGTTATGGGTTTGAGTTGCTTTTGACTTACATAAAACAATCTTGTTAGAAAAAGTATATGGTGAGGAGGGGAGCAGGAGAAGGCCTCTACCCCCCACACACAGAGACCCATCTGAATTGGTCTCCAATCTTGTTTGTAGGGATTCTGTTGGTTGAATGCCTGGAAAGGGAGATGGGATGGCTTTCAGATCATACCAGCTCAGCTAGCATTGCTAACCAACTGTTGCAGGCTCTGAAAATAAAAACAATCTTGAACCCATGCTCTCTGCCTGCTTCATGATGGATTTAAAGGGAACTGTGAGTCTCTAAAGACCTGGGACCACACCTGGCTAAAAGCACTGGCTAGAGTCAGAGACATTTTCTCAAGATGCCAAAGAGCTGTCATGTGGCCTGACATCAGGGTTAGCCAGATGAACTTCAGTTACTCCCCGAGTCCAAAAGCAAACTTGTGATTCAGATTGATTTACAAAATGAAACAGGGATAGGAAAAGCCTGCCTGGACCTCTTGACATTCCCTGACAAGATGTATTAATTCATAGGACTGAGCAACAGGCCAGAGGAGGTACCAATGTAAAGGAGATAGGAGTTTCAGTTGTATTCTGAAGGAGCCAGAGGATACTGCAGAAGGAAATCAGGCAGATGGTGAGTCATGGGCCCACACGAAACCAGAGAAACTTGGATGTGTGATGCTGGGGGCTACTGCCAGAGTGGATAACAGCTGGAGCAAAAGTCTATTACAAAATAGAGTGCAGCCTGGATAGCAGTGAATTTGCATTCCTTTATATTTCAACCATGGTCCCACCTCAAGTCAAGTTTCGGGGTTTGTTTGGTTTTTTTTTTTTTTTTTGGTCACACCATTTTTGGGATCTTAGTTGCTCAGTCAGCAGAGAAAGTATGGAGTCCTAAACAATGGACCATTCCCTCAGTCTTCTTTTAGACACAATTCCCTTCTGATTTGCCTTTCTAGTAGAGGCCTGATCCCAGTCTTTAAAAAAAAAAAAAGATTATAACTTTGTTAAGAAAGGAAATATGTGATACCAAAGTCCAGTGGATATTACTGTTAACGTGCTCAAAGATTTGGGAAGGAGAGCACATCCCCAGAGTGAGCACTAGTCTCCCCTAGTCTCCTCACTGCCTCTCCCAGATGGTTTATTAACCCCACCCATGCAGAGAGATACTACATGTCGAAGCACTTCCACCCTACTTACTGTCCACTCAACTCTTAATCACACTATTATTTATTATAAAGTATATATATATATATGTACATGCTGAGTCACTTCAGTCATGTCCTACTCTGTGACCCTATGGACTAACTGACAGGCTCCTCTGTCCATGGAATTCTCCAGGCAAGAATACTGGGGTGGGTTGCCATATCCTCATATGTATGTATATATACACATACATTTAAAGAGAATTATATATAGAGGTGATTTACAACTGCATGTAAAATCACATGGCTGTAGTCTGTTTAACCCATACTGCAGTACCTTCCCAAAGAAAAAGACCCCATATTCCTAATGAGAAGATTTGAACATTCTGGTTAGTTAGACCACAAACTAAGTTGCATGACGAAAATAGTTAAATATCCACAATATCTACAACTATATTTGTACACATTTAAAAGCATATAAAATACCCAGAACTATCACAGCCTTGTTAATCTGCTACTCCCCAATACAAAATAGAAAATTCCCCCCAAAAAAACTGGGAAAAAAATGAAAACATATAAAATATTTAGATATGCTTTTCCTCAGTCTTTCACAATGAAATGTTATTAGAACTCTTCAACATCTATTTCTGTATCATTTGTTATTTTCCTTGGATCTATCTTTTACTCAGTTTATATGAAGTGACACAGTACTTTATTTATTTATGAAAAACTTTATGCCAAGACAAAGTATCCATTCTGGTAATTAAGGTTTTTTTACTTGACATGTCAGTGTATATGATTTCTATAAGATGCCTACCTTTTTTAATGAGAAATTTCAGACATATAAAAGTAGACTAAATAGACTTTTCTGCCAATGACACAGCTTCAATATCGACTCAGCCAGTCTTCTCTTCACCTCATACCACACATTGCTTTTTAAATTTCCTTTGAGAGGATTCTCTGGCAGTCCAGTGGTTAGGACTCGACGTTTCTACTTCAGGGGGCACAGGTTCAATCCCTGGTCAGAGAACTAAGATCCCACACGCTATGTGACACAACCAAAAATAAAAATTAATTAGCAGGCAGTACTTCTGGATTACCGCAAAAGCCAGCTGGTCTCCTATCTGGCCTGTTGTCACAGTCACCTTGCTAAAATGAACAATTAGTTCAACTATTCTTGCTTGAGAATGTAATGGTTCTTTATTGCCTATAAAATGAAATCTGAACTGTAGCCCATGTGCTAAGATCTAACCCCAGGCTTATATCTACATTCATCTTAAGCTCCCATGACAGGATGGGATTCTGTTTTCACCTTGCCCTCTGAACTTTGCTTGTTAGAGCTGGAAGCACTTCATGGAGACAGTTTACATTAGTAGTAAACAGTAGGCACCCACAAGTTTGAGGGCTGGTTAACTGAAAACCTTGGGCAAAACAACACATTAAAAAAAAAATAGAGGGCAACTATGTCCCAGGCATGATGCCTTGGGATATAAGAATGTATAAAAAATAATTCAACACTCATATTCTACACACAGCTTGAGAATAGAGCATGGCTGAAGTCCCCTGCCTATCCCAGCCTGGTTATAAACCCTCTAGTCTTCCCCCATCCTTCTTGAGCTAACCATTATCCTTCACCAGCATGACTATTTCCTAAGCAGGAAGGTACATAATTGTTTTTCATGTTTAGAACTTCACCTAAGTCTCTCATTTTGTGTAACTCTGCAGAGTTCATCTGCAGCTCTGGTTTTCACTAGCCTGCCGCTCACGCTGAACCACATAAGGGCACTTGTCCAGGAAGGTCATGAGTCAGTAGTGACTCACTGGGCCAACCTCTCCAGAAAGGAACCTGCAAGTAAGCCACTTCTCTCTGGGGCCTGGTCTCAGGGATCACAAAGGGCTGTTGAGGTGCCCTGTGGCCACCTCTGTCCCAACATTTGGATACCCCAATACCCACTTCAGGTCGACTGGGAAGGAGGACTTACGTAGAAGAGCTAGGGTTTTTTGTTTCTTTTTCCTGCACTGGGTACTTGCTGTTTGATAGGGGCTTCTCTTCACAGTGGCCTCCTGTTGCGGAGCACGGGCTCTAGGGCACTCAGGCTCAACAGCTGCGGTGCATGGGCTTAGTTACCTAGAGACATGTGGGATCTTCCTGGACCAGGGATCAAACCCATGTCCCCTGCATTGTCAAGGCGAATTCTTAACCACTGGACCACCAGGGAAGCCCACAAAGAGCTGTTTCTATCATGTGCTCATTCAAGAGACATTTGAATTGTGCCAGGTCCTGGAGATAAGGAGGTGAATTCTCTAAGATGCAGGCTCTCCCTCAAAAAGCTCACCGACTAATGGATGGAACAGTCAGTTGAAGATCAGGAGCCCTTGGGAGTAACACTTGGGTATAACAGAAGCTACAATAAAAGACAGGTTCAGAGGAAATGGCACCCAAGGGGTGTGACAGGAAGCATACAAGAGGTGACCTTTAAGCCTCACCTAGAGGTCTCAGGAGAGGGCATTCCAGGAAAGACTAAATGGTACAAAGGTGACAGCACACATTCATTGAACATAGGGAAGTAAGAATGAGGTTTAGGGGTCAGGGCAGTGAAGAGGGACATTGCTTCAATGTGGAGCTGGTCGAAAAGAGACACGACCAAGTGACTTTCACTTTCACCTGGGAAGACCTTTGGCACTTAGAGCAAAAAATACAGGAGGAAAGGAAGTATCTACATTGAGGAACTTTATAAAATTACTGACCTGTATCCCTCATAAACATCAGTGTCACACACAATAGAGGCTAACTTTTCAAGGAAACTCAAGACATGACAAGTAAATGAAATATGTGAACCTGAATTGGGTCTGGGACAAAACAGAAACAAAAAGTGCTAGACAGGACATTTTGGGGACAATTATCCAAGCTGAAATACACACTATTGATTAAGCTAAAACATTGTCTCAATGTTACATTTCCCGAACTTTATAATTATATAAGGATATCCTTATTTTCAGGAAATGACACTGAAGGTTAAGGACTATGATGTAACCTACTTCCAAATGGTTTAATAAACTCTAAGAGTGTGTGTGTGTGTGTGTGTGATGGAAACATAAAGAATAGGTAAGAAAGCAAAGAGGGCAAATGTTAAAAATAAATGACTCTTAGTAAAGGGAGCAGGGCTTCTCTCCCAGCTCGGCGGTAGCTCAGTCCATAAAGAATCTGCCTGCAATGCAGGGATCCGCCTTCAGTGCAGGAGACCCGGGTTCAGATCCCTGGGTCCGGAATATCCCCTGGCGAAGGAAATGGCAACCCACTCCAGTATTCTTGCCTGGAAAATCCCATGGGCAGAGGAGCCTGACAGGCTACAGTCCATGGGGTCCCAAGAGTCGGACACGACTTAGAGACTAAATCACCCCCAAAGCGGGTAAGGGACTAATTTGTACTATTCTTGCGACTTTTCTATAAGTATTATGTTATTTCGAAAGAAAACACTGTAGGAGGAGGGGACAGCAGTGCTGAGCACCTCCTACGTGGACAGGGGGAGGGTTAGGACAGTGGACTGTACAGATTCTGGGTGGGCAGGGAGTGAACGCGAGGGGATTGCCCCGGAGAAATATCCAGACTGATGATAGCAACTTGTCCCAGACATGCAAACGGCAGTTGAAAGGACAGGTGTAGGACAGACGTCTCGGTGGCGGCGGGGACCCGAGGGAAGGGGAGCAGGAGGCTGAAGGGAGGTCAGCTCGAGGGGAGAGAGGGAGGGAGAGGGCGTGGATCCAAAGGCCCAGTGCCCCCAGGGAGGGCCACAGAGATAAGGCAAACTCCGCCGCCTGGGGCCGGAATGTCGCTGAGACCTTGGTGAACAAAGGCTGCCCACTTTGGGCGGAGGTGGGGGCGGAGGCGGGAACAG